CTAAGCGCTTTGTTCCCGTGGATCGTTAACGCTTTATTAGGTGGCACTGGCCCAGAGTCTGACCAAGGCTGGGGTTGCATGTTGCGATGTGCGCAAATGCTCCTTGGGGAGGTTTTGCTTCGACGACACATTGGCAGGGATTTTGAGTGGAAGGAAGGTGTTCCTCCTACGGGTGATTACGAACGCATTTTGCGAATGTTTTTGGATGAGAAAACAGCTTTGTATTCAATCCATCAAATAGGTAAATTGCATAGATCTTATTTAATCTTAGCCTATAGAATGATTTTTCTTTTAGCACAAATGGGGGTTTCGGAGGGGAAAACAGTAGGAGAATGGTTTGGACCAAACACAGCAGGACAGGCATGCTTTCCCTTATTTTTTCTTCATTTGCTCCCTACATGCAGATTTACCCACTGCCTTTTCATCAGGTCATAAAGAAGCTCGCAGTGTTTGATTCGTGGTCAGGCATAGCTGTTCATGTAGCTCTTGATAACATACTGGTACTAAATGACGTTCGCACGATAGCGACGTTAGCACCGCCAAAGGATGCTATAAAGTTGATCACGGGTGAGTATCAAGAGATTTTTTGAACACATCTATAAATATATCGCTCCTTGAATTCTCGAATATATTTAACTGCATATGGCGTCTTACTCAATAAAATCTAAACGACGCTCTATTATATTTTGAGTGTGAGTGGGTATGAGCGATATACCTCAACCCATTAAAAGTTTGCGTTGATGCATTTGATGTGTGCTGTGCATCTAAACTATACTGCAAATACTAATTATAGAAGAAAAAAACGTGGATGAGTCTTATATGACCCTCGTGAATGAATCAGTCGCATCCGATGACCAGAAATGTGACTGGCGGCCTCTTCTCCTGCTTGTGCCACTGAGGCTAGGATTAACTAGTATTAATCGATGTTATCTCCCTGCTATAGAGGTATTTTCACTTTACAATCAACCTTTTTACATCTAGAGGTGTACTGTACTTTTTTCAGAATTTCTTCAAACTTGATTCTTGTGTTGGTATTATTGGCGGACGTCCTAATCATGCGCTATATTTTATTGGGATTGCTGGTGAAAAAGTAAGCTTTGATTCAACAGTTTGACAAATTCTAAGAGTGAGCCATCATCTCTATTTAGCTTGTATATCTTGATCCGCATTACTGTCGTCCTTCAATAATTGAAAAATATGGAAATACTAGATGTCTTGAGGACGGATTCGTGAGCCTAGAGGTTATTCTCCTTTCCAATTTTTAAACTATGGGTTCAAAGTGATTGCTCTTAGAGTGAAGACATCCCACCTTCTGTTCCTATCAAGGATGAAGGTTTGGATGACACAACTTTCCACTGCAAAATGCTTTTACATATGGACTATGATCAGGTACTAAGTTATCTATCAATGAGGATAATTTGTTAGTTTGGCAAATTTAAGGTTGACCCCTCTCTGGCATTAGCGTTCTTTTGTGAATCAGCGGATGCTTTTGAGAAGTTGAGTCGAGATCTGCGGCAGGTAGTGATTGTCGAGAGTGACCTAAAATGTACTACATTAGTCGTCTGGTTTGCAGGATGTTTTTCCGTCATCAGAACCACCATTATTTGAGCAGCTGGAAACTCGCCCAAAATATTTGCCACCATTCGAACCATATACGGGTGTGAAGGCCAAAATAGAGATGAAAGGTGTTGAAAAATATCTATTTGCTTCTTCAAGCTCCTTCTCTTGTGCCTCACTTGATCAAAATTAAATTTGTTCAGAGTTTGACGATATGTGCGCTCCGAATTATGTCATTGATGATGGGTTTGAAGTTCTTGAAGAGACAGAAGATCCGCTCACTGATTTGACGGAGGAAGCTTTGCAGAGTTGATAGAAATGGTCTCAATCATTTTGGAATGCTATATGAAATGTCCCTTGGACAATGAAATAACCAAACATTGAAAAATTAAGAAGCTAACAGTAAAAGCTTATCAATGCTCTAAGCTGCTATACAACTTTTTCTTTCTACTCACCTTGGACTTTGTTTTTTTTATGATTGATGTGCTTGCTGGCTCGGGTACAAATACATATTTTCATGATAAATGTACAATTTCC